TAATAATACATGAAAGTATACAGAATGATTAAAAAAGAAAGCATAGCCGGGCTTGGTGGTGCATGCCTGTAATCCCAGCAGCTCTGGGGGCTGAGGCAGGAGAATCTCAAGTTCAAAGCTAGCCTCAGTAATAGCGAAGCACTGAGCAACTCAGTGAGACCCTCTTTAAATAAAATACAAAATAGGGTTGAGTAGTAGCACACAGAATAGTAATTAATAAATACCCTATTTTGTATTTTATTTAAAGAGGGTCTCACTGAGTACCCCTGAGTTCAGTCTCTGGTACAAAAACAAAAACAAACAAACAAAAAAAGGAATGCACATTCCTAAGAATCCCCAACACTGTCAAACAAACAAACAAACAAAAGGGTGGGGGGCAAAGATTGGCAGCCTGGATACAGAAAAGTAGGTAGATGTTAATGTCCTGAGGCTGGGGTTAGTTCAGAGATGAGGAGAATTAGGGAGCAAGGAATTGAGATGCTGGCAATTGTTCAGTACAAATAATATAACACAGCTGGGTATGGTGGGGCACCCCTGTAAATCAAGCTACTTGGGATGCTAAGGCAGGAGTATCACAAGTTCAAGGCCAGCCTAGGCAATTGAGCAATGTTTCAAAATAAAAAAGAGTGAGAGGTGCAGCTCAACAATAGAGCACCCTTGGGTTCAATCCCCAGTACTGCAACAAAAACAAAAACATACCCAAAAACCAAAGCAAATAATATAATACATGTTCCAGCTAGATAGGGAAAAAAATATAGATAGTATGAATCAATGCAGGGCTGTCAAATTTGTTGGGGAAGAAAAAAGGCCCAGAAAAATTTGAATTTCAGATAAACAGAATATTTTTAAGAATAAATATGCTCCAACATTGTATATAGCCTGCATTTTATTTGACAATTATTGTAGGTGAAAAAAGATGGAATCCTGAGGTCAAAGGGCTAGAGCATGGTGTAAAAAGAGTCAGAAAGCTGATTTCTTTCTTTCTTTTTTTGGTGCTGGGGATGGAACCCAGGAACTAGTGCATGCTAGGCAAATGTTCTACCACTAAGCTACACCCTTAGCCCTTGCAAACTGAATACTAAACACTATTGTTTAGAATTTCAGACATGGAAGAGTTGGGGGTAATGAAAAAAACCATGGAGAGCCCATTGGAGTTTGTGGCTGAAACCAAATGGAAGTATAGGGCTGAGAAAAACACTGAGCCTAGAGCAATTAGATGGATCATTAGCATGAACATTGAAGTCAGCTAAAATGATGGTTGGAGGATGGAGGAGTATAATAAGCCAAGTATCAAAATCTTCAAAAAGTGTGGTAAAATGACCAGGAAGTCACTGAAGGATGATATCAGGATATCCTAAAGGTCTTGTAAAGGGAAGGGCTTTTTGCATATATTAAAAGGGTAATAACAACCTGAAATTCTGTAATGTGGAACTGGGGAGATAATCCATAGCTCAGAAAGAATAAACTACTTTTAAAAATGTAGTGTGTTCTCAGAGAGCAGTCAAGTTTCAGACAAGATGGAAAAGTAGGGCACAGGGTAGTGTTTTCAGTAGAGGGGTTACAGAGGATGGAATGAAAAGGGGTGGGAGAGATGATGAGAGAATGAACACCGAATACCAACAATTAAAAAAAGCAAAAAAGGAACAAACAGAAAAATAACTTAATCTTGACTGAAAGGAGAAGGGAAGACTATTCTAAGAAAGTGAGGTTTGAGTTGAGATCTGAAGAACGTGATATCTTATAGGTACCTCATATTCAGTCAGTCCAATGCCAAAGAATTACCTGACACTTGTCACTCTTCAGTGATTTCTAGCTCAGTGAACGGACCTACTGTTATGCAGGTTAGAAATATAAGAGACATTCATGATATCTATCTGCCTCCCTTATGTTCATTATCTAAACCATTACACAAGCATCAGATAAAGGAAGCATTCCAAGCAGAGGGAACATATGCAGTGTTCCTATGTTGAAAGACATGGTGTCTTCTGAAGCTAGACTTTACTTTTACACTGAAGAAGGGGCTAGATCCTGAAGGTCTTATAGGCCATACTAAGGATTTTGTTCTTATCCTAAGAGCAATAAGAGACATTGACAAGTCTGGAACAAAGGAATAGATGTGATTAGATTTAGATTTTGAAAAGAGCATTCTGTTGGTAGAATGGAGAACAGATGTGAGAAAGCTTAAATACAAGGAGATCAGAAAAAAGGCTAATGTAGTCAAATAGTTGAGAAGTGGGGGTGCTTGGCACAGGTGCGAACAGTGAACGTGGATGTAAGTGGATAGTTTTTAGGGCTAGTGAGATGATAAAAGGAACTGGTGAAAGTGGTAGATATTCTCTTCTAAACAATGTTAGGAATGAAAATGGAAAGGGAGATTGTATAGGAGAGAAAAAAATTTCCTCTTACTGGTCACTTCCTTACTTAATTACAATCAAACCGATTTATAGCAGACAGTGCTGCCCTTAGGCAAAGGTAAGGGGCCCCTATCTAATCTGTCTCTTTCTGCTGCAAAGAACAAGGAATCCCTGAGGTCAAGTGGCCATGCCAGTTAGGAGACTCCCCATCTCTTTAAGACTGCCTAAGTCTGAGGGTAGACTGAGCTGCTGATTGTACTTATTTTCAGGGAGTATGGGATGTGGACACATGCTTCAACATGCTGGGTCCATACATGGCCTCATTTAGTGTGGCAGGTGAAGAAGTTGGGGGAAGAAAGAACTCAGAATCAGTTTGAGGAGTCTTGAGAATTCTAAATTTAAAGCTAGCCTTCCAGATCATTACAAAAGTGGATTTGTCAAGGTTTAATACAATATATTTTATGTAATAGTTTGTTATCTTGATTTATAACTTAAAATATTTAGACAGGTGGTACATGGGTCTTGTCCAGGCTCTGCTAGTTTAAGGCCAGGCCTGATAACAGGGTAGTATAGTGTACTATTGTGCAAGGAGTAACAAATTCACACAGATAAGAGTATCATTTAGTTGCACCTTTAAGAAGTTAGATTTTTAAGACTTCAGTGTGGAAGATAAATGAGTGTACAAGATTCAAGGCATACCTTAATGTTTATGAGATACTTCTCTAGATAAGGAGGGCCAACAATTAATAAATTACTTTTATTATTACTTGTAGTACAGTACTAGGGATTGAACTCATGGGTCAGTCTACCATCTAGCAACATTCCCAGGCACTTTTTTTTTTTTTTGGACCAGGGATTGAACCCAGGGATACTTAACCACTGAGCACATCCCCAGCTCATTTTAATCTCTATTTTGAGACAGGGTCTTGCTAAATTGCTGAGGCTGGCTTTGAACTTTTGATCCTTCTGCCTTGGCCTCAAGAGCTGCTGGGATTACAGGTGTGCACCAATGAGCCCCACTCCAGCCATATTTCATTTTATATTTTGAGACAGGGTCTTGCTAAATGCCCAGGCTGGCCTTGAATTTGTGATCCTTCTGCCTAAGACTCCCAAGCTGGGATTACAGATATGCACCAATGCATCTGGCTAAGAAATTATTTTAATTATAATGATTTCAGTGTGATTTTGAAAACCCTCTTCAAAACTGCGTAAGTTTAGAGTGTGGAAGGGAACTTAGTGATCATGGGATGAAATTTACTCATTCAACAGATAAGAAAACAGGTCGTGACAGGTGAAGCCAGCGTAAGGTCACAACTCCATTGAGTTGACAGATGATTTCCAGTCCTACCTATCCTCTCTGTTCACTCTCCCACCAATGCTCCTATTTTGAAGATATCTGATGCCAGTCAATTCCAAAGTTTTTACTGTTATGTATTAAATATTTCATTACTGTAAAAATTTTAGGTACTTAAAATTAAATATACCTATAAATCAATGTTAAAATTTGACTACTCCTTCCCAAATCTCAAGGGGGAAAAGAAAGAAAACGGAAGTAAAGAATTCCAACTTTCTGAGGTCGCAAGAATGGATATTCTTAAAAGTTACTTTTAAGCGTTTCCAGAAAGCCTATGCAGTTTAGGGCTCCTCTTAGAATCATAAAATTTCTTCTCACTGGCCCACTGAGTTGACTGCTTTTATTTTTACATTCATTCCTTTTGACTTTCTGACGTCCTATGACATCTAAGAGTTAAAAGCATGCTCTTTGCTATGGTTACAACTGTATTGCAACCCGTCTCCCCAACTTCCTTACTTGTTAATCCAAAAATCAAAACACCCGCTTACAAAGTATGGAACACTCGGCGCTACTACACAATAAAATACAGAAGCTTAATTTTTTTTGTGTTTCCAAACACTTAGTAATATCGCATTTCCTTGATGAGTTTAAGTTATAATTACAAAAAAAATAAAAAAATTAAAACCTTTAAGGGACCACTCACAATTTTAAAAGTCTTCAAACCCAGGGGATATCTTACCTTCAAGCTCGGAAGTAATCCGAAAGGAAGTATCCTGTTCATAGGACTTTATCTTCCCTCAAAGCACGAGCGTTCACGATCTTAGCAATAGTAATACATCTTGTCACCACATTAAGTGATTTTTTAAGCCCCTCCCATCAATTGACTACCGACTAACAAAAGAAAGGATTTATTTCTCCGCAACACTTCTCTGAGCTAAGCATCCCCGAAAAACAGCTTTCCGAACGCGCAGAGGCAGGAAGGGAAAGGCACGCCGGGGGAAAAAGGAAGAGAAAGTGGTACAACTGCAACACAGTCTTCGAGGCAGGAACGAACGCGCCCTCGGTCGGGGCAGATTTGGGATCTAGAGTGTCCCAGACACTCTCACAGGGCACCCGAGTTCACGCTGGCGACAGTCGGAGACCCTCTCCTCCAGCAGCTCCCCCTGCTACTAGCCGCACCCCGCGGAGCTCTGACCTCCAAAGCAAGTCCGCTAGGCAATTCCAACCCTTCGCTTTATGCCCGCACCTTTGATTGGATTCTAGATGGATCCCTCAGTATGTCTCACCCTATGAAAGACCCGGCCGGTGGCCCGGCAGCCCCGCCCCCGCCCCGCCCCGCCCCTGGCAGAGGACCCGCCCAGTGCCTCGCGCCAGGGAGCGGAGGAGAGTAAATACAACAGGAGCGCAAGATGGCGGAACCGCCGAGCCCAGTGCACGGCGCCGCCGCCGCCTCCGCCTCTGTCGTTTCCGAGAAAGAACCATTTGGCAAGCTTCAATCTTCCTCTCGGGATCCACCTGGTTCTCTGTCCGCAAAGAAGGTCCGGACTGAGGAGAAGAAGGCGCCGCGGAGAGTGAACGGAGAAGGGGGTAGCGGCGGGAACAGCAGGCAGCTGCAGCCGCCCGTGGCACCTTCGCCTCAGAGCTATGGCAGCCCCGCGTCTTGGAGCTTCTCTGCTCTTTCTGCTACCCCATCTCCGTCTTCTTCTCGGAGCTGTTTCTCTTTCTCCGCGGGTTCGGCGGTCCCCTCTTCAGCCTCCGCTTCCTTGTCTCAGCCGGTGCCGCGCAAACTGCTGGTCCCTCCTACGCTGCTGCACGCCCAGCCTCACCATCTCCTGCTGCCGGCCGCCGCTTCCTCGGCTAACGCCAAGCCACGCAGACCTAAGGAAAAGCGGGAGAAGGAGAAGAGGAGGCACGGCCTTGGCGGGGCCGCCCGGGAGGAGAACGGGGAGGTGAAGCCGCTGCCGCGAGGTGGGTGCTGGCTCGCGCGGGGGAGGGGAGGGGACGCCCGGGTCCCCGCCACCCTTAAGCGCTGGGGGCCCGGGAAGGGGGAGCGCGGCAGCGGCGTGCGCCAGTCTGGACAGGCGGGAGGCGTCAGGTTCTCGGGCGATTTTTCAGTCCTCAAGGGGACAGGAAATGGAGCCTGTAATTTTGGTGGCAGAGAGGGGAATGGCCTAAACTCTATATGGTTTTTCCTCCCAGTTAACGAGCTGCAGCATTTGTAGAAATCGGTCTGGAGGACCCTTCTAGGTATGCTTAGTTAGGGAGGGAGATAGGAACAAACGAGAAGGGTTCGGTCTTTAAAAGATGCTTGATAACTAAATAAACTGTTTAGATGTGATCACAGGGATTTGTATTTGTGACCCAACCTCCGACACCAGAAAATCCTGTCAAAAAAAGGGGTGTGGAGAGCATTGGCGTCAGCTGGAAGCTACCAGAGGCCTGAGCATTTCATCCCTATTAGGGAAGTGAGGTAGTGTGCAGGGCCCCAAGTGTGCTGTTTCATAAGGTACCCAGCCTCCACCCTCCTCTCCACTCCGTATTCTTTAGTGTTTTGAGTGGTCCTATTTGAAATAGAAGAATTTTCAGCCATATTCTCTTTTGCTGCAGCAAATAATAAAAATCAGGAGCTTTGACGTGTTTTGGCCACATCAAGTGGTTACAAAATGTTTTAGCTTAAGAAAAAGGCAGATTCTTAGGCGTCCTTTTGAGACACACTTTTGCTTTTGAATGTTGACTTTTCATAGTTTTTCAAGATAGTATTTCTTTAAAATAGGTGGTCCTTTTAGCGGTGGATATATAATGATTTGACAGAGTAGTACAACATGCAGATTGGTTGGGAAGTAAATCTGTGATTACAAACTTAAAACTCAAAGTTTGAAATGATATTTATTATAAATATATGTTGCTACAGTGTTATGAAATAAAATCTTTTTTTTAGCAAAAAATGAAATGCAGGCAGTTTTAGCATAGCTGATCTGATGTCGCTTAGATCATGAAAAATGCTGTTTTAAGTAGAATGGCTTATTTTTCACAGTAATTTTTAAAAAAGCTATACATGAGTATGTAGTAACAGTGTTACTTTCCAAATTTTTTTTTTTTTTTTTTGTCCATAGCAAAGCTTTGACATCCAAGTCAAACCTGCCATCGGGTATTCTGATGCAGAGTAAAGATCTCTCACTTTTGGAGATTGTTGCTTCTACAAAAGCAATTTTGAAGATGGAGTTTACTTAGGAATTTTAAGTGGTTAATATTTTAAAGCTATTTGTTTTAATCCCTAAGTATAAAATATAAGTGCCTGGAAGTCTATCCAAATGTGGCTTGGTATCAGTCTTGTGGTGTGTAAACTGTGCATTTGCTTCATAAATTCCCTGAGGAAGTGCATATGGATATTGGAATGGCTGAAAATAAATAAGCATGCATTTTAAAAAAACAATTCTGACTTAACATGTGGTGTAAACAGATGTCCTTTAAATTCAATGGCTCTGTAGTGCATGATTGTAATCTCGGCTACTTGGAGGCTGAGGCAGGAGGATTGCAAGTTTGAGGCCAGCCTGGGCAATTTAGTGAGACCCTGTATCAAAAATGAAAGCACTGGCCAGGTGCAGTGGTGTACACTTAGGAGGCTGAGGCAGGAGGATTGCAAGTTCAAAGCCAGCCTCAGCAAAAAACAAGGTGCTAAGCAACTCAGTGAGACCCTGTCTCTAAATAAAATACAAAAAAGGGCTGGAGATGTGGCTCAGTGGTGAGTGCCCCTGAGTTCAATCCCTGGAACAACAACAACAAAAGGACTGGGGACGTAGTTCAAGGGTATAGTGCTTGCTTGGCATGTGTGAGGACCTTGGTTCAATCGCAATTACCAGGAAAAAAAAGTGAAATGACTGTGAAAGCAAAATTTTTATAATGTTTTAAATTACATTTAGAATCTTTTTTTTTCTTCTTCTTTTTTTTTTTTTTTGGTATTGGGGATTGAACCCAGGGGTACACTACCATTGAGCTACATTCTCAGTCCTTTTTGTTTTTTATTTTGAGACAGGGGCTCACTAAGTTGTCCAGGTTGGCTTTAAATTTGAGATACTCCTGCCTCAGCCTCCCAAATCCCTAGGATTAGAAACCTGAGCTACCATGCTAGGCCCAGAATTCTCTTGAGTGCTACCGCTTACATTTTTAAGCCTAAATATATAACAAGGATAGCTTTTTAAAAAATATTTTTTAGTTGTCAGTGGGTCTTTTATTTTATTTATTTATTTATATGTGGTGCTGAGGATTGAACCCAGGGCCTCACACATGCTGGGCAAGCATTCCACCACTGAGCCACTACTGCAGCCCCAACAATGATAGCTTTTATATTAGGCTTTTCCCACAACCTAAATGGATTTTTTAAGGAATGACTAGATATTAACTTTTGTAATCTTTTTTGTACAAAAATGCTATTTTATCTATTTATTTATTTAAAAATGCTGTTATTTTGAGAAAAAACTAAAAATCAAAGAAAAATATTGCTTTTTAGTATTTTTTGTTTGTTTTTGGTACTGGGGATAGAACCCAGGGGTACTTAACCACTAAGCCACATCCTCAGCCTTTTAAAAATATTTTATGTATATATAGGGTTTTGCTGTGTTGCTTAGGGCCTCGTCAAGTTACTGAGTCTGGCTTTGAACTCACAATCCTCTTGCCTCAGATTCCTGACCTGTTGGAATTACAGGTGTGTGCCACCATGCCCAGCTTGCTTTTTAGTATCTCAATGATAATTTTTTTGTGTGTGTGTGGTGCAAGTGCAATACCACCAAGCTACAACTCCAACTCGATTCAATAATCTTTAGTCAGAACTAAAGTAAGCTCTAACAATATATTTTTTTAAAATTTTAATATTTATTTTTTAGTTTTTGGTGGACACAACATCTTTGTTTTTATGTGGTGCTGAGGATCGAACCCGGGCTGCACGCATGCCAGGCGAGCGCGCTACAGCTCGAGCCACATCCCCAGCCCCTCTAACGATATTTAAAGAAGGAAAATAGATTTTCCCTCAACAAAAGACAAAATTGATGTATGTAGTTCCCAGAAGAACTGGCCACTCCCAACTTTACTAAACTATTAAGCTCCTGTACTTATTTATTTAGAGTTTTTAAAAATCATTAGAACAGCTTTATTTTTATATTGGTTATATTCTAACAAAGTGTTCGGATTGAATGAAAGTGCATATATGAATGGACCTGGCAAGCCATTTAGTAAATGTTCAGTCTGAAGCATGGTTTTTAATTTTTTAATCTCATCAATAAATTAAAAGATGGGTCAGTCCTGACAGAATAAAGGATCACTGACCGCAAATTTGAAAGCTAGGCTTACTAGTGTAGGCTCGTTGAATACGATGACCAATACCTTATGCACCTAACATCTCTTCAGGCCATGTGGTGATAGTGCTATAGCTGACTTACATGATAGTCTAATTCATCAAATAAAGGTTAAATTTTTTCTTATAAAAAGTGCAGAATAGTTTAGATTCTTAAAACTAGAAATAGCTGGACCTGGTGGCTCATGTCTGTAATCCCAGTGATTTGTGAGCTGATACAGGAGGATGGCAAGTTCAGGGCAGCCTTGGCAACTTAAGACTCTGTTTCAAAATAAAAAAATAAGAAGAAAGGGCTGGGGATGTAGTTCAGTGGTAAACTGCCTGTAGGTTCAGTCCCCATTCGGCAAACAAAACCAAAACCAAAATAAACCTGGAAAATAACTAGATTTGGTGCTTACAGAGATAAGCTACTGGAGTTACCCCATTTTTCTCTAAGACTTAATTGTTCAAACACTTGGAAAGTAAAAATGGACGTGTTTTTAAGGTATCCACCATTGAGAATCTCATTATAGTAGCTGGGCATGCTGGTACACACCTGTAATCCCAGTGGCTCTGGAGGCCTCAGCTGGAGGATCATGAGTTCAAAGCCAGCCTCAGGAAAAGCAAGGGGCTAAGCAGCTCAGTGAGACCGTGTCTCTAAATAAATACAAAATAGGTCTGGGGATGTGGCTCAGTGGTCCAGTGCCCCTGAGTTCAATCCCTGGTACCCACTGCATCAAAAAAAAAAAAAAAAGAATTAAGATAAACAACATATCATTAGATATTATGTGGCTTCAGGGATTCTGAAAACCAATATAATTTGTATGGATCTTGTGACTTTTATAGCTTTTGCTTTGCATTTTTTCCCCCTTAGAATGACTTGTGAAATATTCCAAGACAAAAATCAGACCATTTCACTGAAGTTTTTCCTTGAAAATATAGTTCCAGAATTTAATTCTAATGAAAACAGAGACTTTTTGTAGTATTGAATGATTTGGGGTATGTGAATGTTAGTGATTTTTAAAACAATGAATATTTGAACATTTTCAGCTATATTCTCCCCCATCTTTCTAATATTATTTCACAATTTTGGGTTAAATCCATATTTATAGTTATCTATATATATATATATATATATATATATATATATACATACATACATATATTTAATAACCAAATATTTGTCACTGTTGAGAGAATAGTTGGATATGATTCCTTTGTGTGTGTGAATGTGTAATCTTTTGTATTTCATGTCCAATTTTTTTTTTTTCACTTGTTTAGTTTTCTCTGACAAATTCTTTCTGTATCTTCCAACTGCTCCATAAAATGCTTCTCAGTACAATTTTCCACATGGGCAAAGCTGTCAGATAAACTTATCAGTTCCATTTGTTCCTGTAGACATCCCCTCTGTAGATGTCCTTCCTGCTTCTGTCTGGATTGTTTACTCTTAAGGCCTGCTGCATAACTATCACCTTGGGACTTTCCTTAGCTGAGTGACATTCTGGGAATTTCTTTCAGTTTTGTTGAATGCCCTTTCTGGATCTCTTGCCTGTCTTTTGGTTCATATTGTAATTTTGTATTTTTCTACTAGGAGTAATGTGAAAGGGTGTGTAAGAAGTACCCTTTTGGGAATTGTATTTTT